AGAGGGGTTTTCAAGGAATAATTTCCATTACAAACTTTTTTCAAATTTTATTTATTTATTAGGATTTTACAGTGATGCGAAACTTACACTATTCTCCAGTACTAGTAAGTATACATTAATATGAATGATTAGGCATAGTTTTCTCAAATTTTTCCATTATTTTTATAAGAAACATTTTAATGATTTATATTGCAATGTTGTTAATTAGTTATTGACTCTTTTCCCCACCCCCTACGGGGTAGAGTCTGGTGGCGCGATTTTTTTACGTCGTATCCCTAGTATGTATTTCCCAATCTACTGTGTCCTCAGTCTCTTTGATGTGCCAGGCTGCGACTCAGGATCTGGTGGAGCTTCCGATATTGAATTGTCGAGGAAGGATGGAGAATGAAGTGGCGTCATTATTGGCAGTTCATCTTCAAAATCATTTTCCTCGATCAATTTTGATATCTCCATTATGTTGCTGCATGTCTCCCCAGAACAATTCAGGCATACTGCAGAACATTTGAGGCCTGCCTTCCGACATCCACACATTGCTCCACAGTTTCCTTTGCATCGGCAGAATATCAACTTTAGAAGCTCAGGGGGTGCTGGAGGTTTTGAACTTTGAATAGGCATCAATATTTGTCCATACTTTTTCCAGCCCCAGTCTTGAGGGTCGTTGTAATTCCCGAGCCACGACTGGACCTGACAATAGACTCGGAGGTTGTGCAAGCGGGCTGTGTCTTGTGTTGGAGGAAGTGAAGACAAATTAAATGTATTCTTTGTCACTGACTTGGCGAATCGTTTATATCTAAGACTGTCCAGAGATTCATCATCTTTATTGCCACCATATAAAGAGATGAAAAAACGTTCGCTAATGGCAGTGAGCAAAGTTGGGTCGACTCTCTCATTGAGGAATAACGCTGTTCCACTAGCTAACTCAGGACGTGTCTCCAGTGTTACGAGAAATTTCATGTTACCGATGTTGTAAGCTGCTGAAGTTGTGTCACATCCTGAGAAGGCATGGAGAAACAACAGATTATCCGCAATGACTTCTCCGTACATAAAACTTGACGGACATTATAATTGTTTGGCTGTACGTCCTTTTGATGGTTTAAAAAAATATATATTTGAATGTGTTCTTCCAAATGCCGCGAGCAAGACAAGAATGTCGATATCTTCGGCGACAATAGTGACTGAGTCGAACGATTAGGATGCAGCAAGAGCGGAGCGAACGATGAGGGTATCTGCATCTGATTCTGCTTGGTCGACACTGAAACCCACCTCCGACAATGAAGTTTTGAGAAGTTCAATGAACTTAGCCTTGTTCTTCTCATTATCAAGAAAACTTTGAAGGACGCCTCCTATGCCTAATCATTCATATTAATGTATACTTACTAGTACTGGAGAATAGTGTAAGTTTCGCATCACTGTAAAATCCTAATAAATAAATAAAATTTGAAAAAAGTTTGTAATGGAAATTATTCCTTGAAAACCCCTCTATCAAAATGCTCTCATGTATTTTTTTTGTAAACTGACCAGAAAAAAAGTTATAACGACCAAAACAAAATTTCTTCCCAAATTCTTATCTATTTTCGTTAATAACTTTGTTATTTTTGGTTCTACGACTAAAAGTTACGGAACTAAAGTTGTAGAGAATTTAATTTGCAACCAGAAATGTTTTTACAAATTTTCTGTGCGAGGAATAGTTTGCCCGATATAGTAAGTAGTAGTATAAAAACCATTTTTACAAGATGGCGGCCGACGCTCAAGGGTTGCGACCCCACAAACATGGATTTAACTTTACACTAACCCCGTCTTGACATCCAAAAAATAAAATTGCGTGCTCTGACTTTTGCAACCTCAAATGTAACTTTTCAATGGACTAGTAAGGTGGATAACAGGGCATTACAGAAAACACTTGCTTGGAACATATCGCACCTCCGTTAGAAAGTAGTCACAACTCAAAAAAAAAAATGGTTTTGAGAAAAACTGTGTTAAAGTATTTAATTAACTCCTACCTACCACAAAATACAAGTGTCACTTCTGCCATCTACCGAGTAATAGTTCAAATAAAAATATGACGCTTTTGTGGAAGAAATAACTATACTCCGCGGTCGAAATTATAGAGAGTGACTAAGACATAATATAAATACACTATTACTATAATGCGCATAAAATATAAAATGATTTTTATAACGGTTCAATATTATTTATCTTTGTGCCGCTCACTACGCACAACGATATAATCTATAATCGTCTATAGACTGAGTTACATTGCACGTCGATCTATATTCTATCTCTGTCTTTTGCACTTGGTAGGGAATAGGGAAATTCTTTTTTAGTGGGTGTAAACGGACTTGATTTAGCCGTCATAGAGCCGTGAGAAACGTCATAGCATAAGCGTAGACGAGGGGTCTAATTCCATTGCTATAATAAATTTATAAATTAAAAAAACACAACTGGGACGTTTTAAAATGCTGTAATAATTAAAATGGATCAAAGTGCCGGTTATAGCAAACTAAAAAAATATTAGATGTTATGTTTTATTATCTTTTTTCAATATTTTCTATATCTTGTTGCCTTTTACGCAGACACGCCAATGGATTTTCGTTCCCGGCACGCTTCATCCCCCTTACTAGTCCAAAAGCTAGCGATGAATCACTCTCTATAATTTCTACCGTGGAGTATAGTCATTTTAAATCTTGCTGCATATTTAACTCATTAAGGACGTTTTTTGACTTGTGACTCTTTTTTTTGCGGGGGTGCGATATGTCCTTTGTACATAACAGGATGAAAGATGAAGGTATTATAAAACACGTTTTGTAATAAGATATTTTTTCTTAATAGAGTATTTACAGATTTGTAAATGACATTTGAGGATTACATTTTTCAAGATGGATCATCCCGAAAATCTTTTTAGACAACTAAAAATAAGTGGTGATGTTGGATTCCGAGATTTTTGAAAATGGCCCTCACTTATTTCAAAACTTTAAATGAAAAGTTCGGAGGTTGCCAACATCGAATCTATGCTGATTGATGGAGGAAGATGACATACATGAATATACAGGGTTCTTCACGGGATGGGGCATATTAAACGTTTCGGAGAAACCAAACATAATTCGACTCTGAAATTTTGTTTACGGGGGTTATCAGATATGTTCTCTTCAATGAAAATAATGCCGCCAACATAGCACTTCCGGTTATACAGGAAGTAGCTGACAACTTCGTTATTTTAAATGGAACATCCTATATATTATTGCATTATCGATAAGATCACTTAAAAATACTTCAAAAATGTAGAAGCTTCCCTATACCTAAATCTATCCGTTTTCGAGATAATCGACATTTTATAAAAATTTTGACAAATGAGTGTCAAAAATTCCTTATATTTTTCTTCGTTTTGGAAGTTTTACTGGGACAACATAATAAAAAATTAAAACTATAAATAACTGGGGTGTATCTGTTATTTATTTCCATATCAATAGTCCATTCTAGTCATAGAAATTGTTATAAAAATTAATGCTAACTAAAAAATTTGATTTATTATTAAAAAAGTTTTTTTTTTGTTGTCCATGGATATGCAATAAAGTAATTTTTATTTTTTTTCTCCAAAGAGGAAGCAATATAGAAAAAAAATGCAAGACACAAAAATTTATACAGTGTAGGAAAGTACCGATGGTCTATCAGAAGTTACGTGAGAGCGATAAAGTAAGCCATAGAAATCCATGTGATGGATAAGATGATGGATAGAATAAGATCCACTTCTTATTTGTGGAAGGGCGAAATGGGCATTGACTATTAGACGCCTTCATTATAGCCATCCTTGTCTATCACATTTATTTCTATGGCGTACTTTATCGCTCGCACGTAACTTGTGATAGACCATCGGTACTTTCCTACACTGTATTTTTAGTTGTTTAATGCGAAAAAAATTATAAATGTTTTAAAAAAGTCAGTTTCGCAAATTTTTTTGTCAAAAATATTGATTAAGGTGCTTCCAGGGACGCCACTAGAGTTAATAATAATTTTAATCTAGTTAGGGCTAAATTTGCCCCTTTCTATCATAAATAACACTGCCAAATTTCAACAAAATCGACTATAGGATTCCACCTAAGAGCTGTTACATAGGTACTTTTTCGGACTTTGGAAAATAACCTGATTTTTCTGGAAAATTGTTAGAGATAAGTATATCAGTCGAGAGGGCATTCAATTTTGCATTCACCCATGACAATATGGATCATTCCATTTGAGAAAAAAGATTATTAAATGTAGCTCTTAGTATTTCCGAGTCTGAATAACGTACACGTTTTGTTCACAGATGACAAGATAAGAGTAATTTATGCCAAAACGAACTGTGAAAACTGCAGAATTCTAACTCTTATGGTTTAGACGCTATCTAGCCTCATTTTTTTTCAAAAACAACTGATTATCTCGAAAACGGTTAAGTTTTAAATACCATAGACATTTAATAAACTCTACCTAATATTCACCAAGGAATTCAAAAGCGCAATAATATACAGGGTGTTCCATTTTAAATAACAAAGTTGTGTAGCGCCCACGCGAAATGGAACACCCCGTAAAGCTAAAAATGTTTTCTTTACGTGACCCACATGATTCCAGAAAACATTTATTAAAACCATTTTTTCATCAATTTTACAGTTACAGAGTTACAGAAGAATCCCTGCAACACCCTGTATAAACTTTTCGTCTTAGAATCACTCAAAGAATCACCCCTTGAAGTTTGGGCATGTACTTAAATAACAACAACCCAATTTTGGCACATGTACTATCGCAGTTGCCCTAATAGTTAAGACAGCGTCTTACCCAAGGTAAGCCTCGAGTCTGACTCTCGGATCGAAACTCGCCTCGTGGATCGAGCACTTCGTATTTTTCACATTAACCTGCTCTTTCTCCTACTTTCTTTCGTTTCCCCCGCTCCCTTTTCACGGGCACACATCGTAAAGTTGTTCCGAATACAAGTCCGGTTCGAAACCGAGCCGCCTCATTCATACCGTAACGCGATTTATTTGGCCGAATATCCATAAACGCCAGTTCCTTGTTCATACAATCGGTCCTCCAAGCTCTACGTAGGCAAACATCCGGTTCAAAATTTCAATGTAGCACGTCTGATTCGAGCCGCTGCTCAAGTATTTCTGAATCTTCTGTTATCAAGTGCACTGTGCACCGATAAGTCGGTGGATCTGTAGTTTTTTTCGTTCCGTCGAGAGGATAGTGGGCCGGTGCGACTCTTCGGGGTATTGTTATTATTGCTAGTGCGTTCAAGAGCAGTGCCTGTGGTTTTGTGGTGGTTTCGCTTGGCATGCACCAGGATATAGTCGAAAGGATACTTTAATGACCGGTGTAACGGAATGGCACGGAGTTCCGGCTCATCTGTATGAGATATGACAGTTTCTGGAGAGGTAAACATTTTAGAATCTTGTTATTTTTCAAATCCCGCATAACGAAGAAACGTATTCGAAAAGCGCCTATCTTCAAGGTTACTTAAATTGAAAATTGACTAACATTTTCTATTTTCCTTGGATATTATAAAAACTAAACAATTTTAAATGCAGTTTCTACAATGATTCGATGAAACGCAGTTTTGATTATCCTAGTAGTAATGTGGTTTAGTAATCATTAAATTGCAACATAATTCAGTGAAGTAGATTAATTTTTAGTGCCAATCACACTAATAATATTCTTTCTTGATAAAGTTACGAGACAAATTATCTCTTCCTTTTATGAAATTGTCTTCGTGGTCTTTAAGGACACAAGAGGGATATCACAAAAATTTTGTGGAAACTGGTTTAATTGTGGTGGGGATTACTGGTTTCTGATGATTGAAGGACAACGGAAGCAAGATTACACGGATACCTTTCGTGGTGAAAGTGGAAAATTTAGGATATTCATGTCAACCTTTTCTTATTTTTCACATAAATAATTTTATTCTTATAATGTATAATAATAATAGTAGTAGGTATACAACAATACAAAGGTGCAGTGTTGTATATTTTTCAGTTTCAGTTACAACAAAAGGATTTAGCTAAATATGATTTTATTTTACTTTATTCTTGCTTCTAGTTTCTTTCATTGACCTTAATGTTTTTTTTTGCTACCCAAGATCTATACTATCAGTGAGTGTCATTTAATATTCCACTTCGAGGCTATTCAAGATGCGCAGTTTAATCATAATAATAAATAATACATGCAATTATCTTAAAGTGATCTTACACTGTACGATAAGATGTGTTTTGCTCGAATACGATCATTACACCATAGTAAAGTGGTGTTGTGATCGTTACAGAGATCCTGTTCAACTGAGTCACAGTTGGTCGCAGGTTCTCTTTGGTTGTTGGTCAATTATTGATACTAATTGCTACACTACGCACTTATATTGCTATTCATTGTTAAAATTATTGCTTTGCATTGTGATTTTGGTAGATAGGTAGTAACCTTACCCTGGCATGGGTATCTAATCTCCAAAAGTGTCAAATTATTAAGCTTACAACAAATTTACATCTTATGGCCTAAGTACTGCATTTGATTAACTTTAACAATATGTGGGGAAACTTATTTTTTATTAATTATGCATTGACTTTGAACTAAAATGCAGAGACTAAAACAACGAATATTTTTCTATGATAGATAAAAAAATAGAACAATAAACCTGAGAGTTTAAATACTTCCATACTAAGAGATGGGATATTAAAGTTTAAAAGAAGGTACATAATAGCAGCATATGAGAGTATTTCTCAATAAACCTGCTTCTTCTAGTAGCATAGACAGGGATATGTAACCTTTTTAAAAATATTTTCCATGCTTCTGACCGATTTGATCTCTAAAATGGCTGCTAGTATTATTAACCATCTCTATTGTGTGAATTGTACTTTGTGATGTTCCTCTCAACCAACTTTTCTCTATATACTTTGTCTTCCTATTTACAGCTATTTATAGATTTTCTTGTAAATATTTACATTAATATTAAAATATTTAAGAGTCGAACTAGAAATTCAATATAAAATTGTGAATAATTGAAACGAAAACAATTAAATAAGCACAAGTAATAAAGTTATTCTTCAAACTAAGTTAATAAATATACTTATATGTGTTACTTCTATATTGTTTAAAAAGTTGAAAAATAATAATAACAAACGTATTGTAGTCAAACTTCATATAATTAATACAATAACTAGCACAATTAAGAAAAAAATATATTATTTGACTAAACGATTTTGATTAAGAAAGAAAATAATGCAGTCAACAAAAGATTTGACAGATAATACCAAAACCTCTTATTTGATTTCATTAGATAATTCCCTGTCTACAGAACAATCGGTTAGTTGGTATAGTTTACCGATGTAAGAGAGCTCCTCTAATTTATAATTTATATTAGGCCATTCTTTTCATATGTGTTATTTATTACCAGAGACCTAAAGATATTCCCTGGAAAATTTGTAAGAAATGAAAAAATTCGGAAAAATTGAACTTGTTAAAATCCAAAAGCGTTCACAGTACTAAAATAAATAATACATTAAAAAAATCGTTAGACTATTTCCGTTTTTAGAAGAGGTTGATAAAGACCAGGAACAAGGTATGTACTGGGAAGACTCAGGATCAGACATGGACTGTGGAGATCTTTGAAGTGAATTTGCAAATTGAATTTGTTGTTTGCAAAGCTCGATTTTTAGTTTGTTTTTTTGTCGATTCATTTTACTGTTAATTAAAACATATATACCTTTTGTAAATTTGTGCTTGAGCTGAACTAATTTGGCATTTTAAGACTTCCCGATATACCGTTTTGTTAAAATTTGTTCATACTCAATGAGATTTATCCCAGCAAAATATATCTGAAAAGATATTTTAATAAGTAGGTATGTTTTTAAATGGTTTTATTTTTAATTTCTTCTATTATTCCAATTTTTTGCTTTGAAATAAGTTTTATTAACTAATTTTAAATAATAATTATTACTTAGTAAATTAATTTAATTCATTTTGATTATTTACAATTTTACTAGTCTGTTATCTTTTTCGATTTTAAAATACTTTAATATAAGCTTCCTAAAAATGTAATGTAATTTTTCACGAAATGACATCTTGAGAATTCTTAAATAGAACAACTAAGGATTCACAAGATATCTCAATAAAGACACGAAACGAAGACATTCTGAAAATTGCGTTTTCTTAAATTCCAGTTTGACCAGAAATCCCACCATACTACTAAACGCTTTAAATACTGTTCCTATTTTATATTTATCTTTTGTGTTTACAAAAATCAATTTATCTTGGAATCTACACACAGATCTAACTTGAAACTGCGCCTTGAAAAGAAGGTAAACAAACACACAAACAAAACAAACAAAATAAACAAAACAAACAAAACAAACAAACAAACAATATGTCATTTTTGGTTTACTTTATTTTTTAAACCTATTTTACATTTATTCATTTTTGACCAAATAAATTGATCAAGAAATTAACCTAGGTATTTTGTTACTACTAGAGATTTAACAGCTCGAAAAAAAGCAGAAAAAATGAAAAAGAACCTGTTTCTTTTCCGTTTTCCTAAGAATTGGGAATAAATTAAAAATTGAATAAATTTAAAATAAAAACATAAAAATTCTTATTAAAACACCTTTCCATATATATTTAGTCAGAATAAACCTGAGAATAAATTTCAACCAGTATGAAAATAAAATGTTTTAACAAAATTTATATGGCTAGGAAAGGCACGCCATCAAATCTCAAATTAGTCAAACTTAAGCACAAATTAATAAAAGTTAAATATAATATTCTGTTTAAAACAGCAAAAAAGGAGCAAAATCTTAATTTTTAGTAGTAGTAGCACAGCAAATAAAACAATTTATTTGCTGTGGTAGTAGTTTAGTGGTAGTTAGTAAACAACGCAAAGAAACAAAATATCAGAATAATTAAAAAAACCTTTACAGTGTTTTTAACCAAATTTGAACATATGTACAAGCAAACTAAAAAACTCAGGTTAGAAAAAAAACGTTTTTTTGCTAATTCACTTAAAAACCCCCTCAAAGTCTACATTCTAATTCGAAAGCAACGTGTTGTTGGTCACTTTATACATATTCAAAATTTTAGTCAGATTCTTCTAAAAGTTAAAATGATCTGATGTTTTTTATTAAAATAATTCCTAATGGTTATTTTTTCTAAATATACATTAATTAATCTTTTTTGAGAAGAAAAAACTGTTTTTTCCGACATACAATTTTTTCGGAAATTTTGATTGGTACTAAGGTCTTCCCAAGGCTCAAGGTTCGGCAAGTGAATCAGCCATAAATCAAATTATCATTGTTGTGCTTTCACTTAACCACAATTAGCGTGAACTCCAAGCCTCGCTTTGACAATAGCAAGTTGATTTATGGGCGATTTGCTCGTCGAACCCCGCGTTGTGGGAAAGCGCCTTAATACATACCTTGTAGTAAATCTCTTAGATTAAAGTATCTAAAAAATTGACAAATTTTGCAGATTTTCTGTTAATTTTAATATATTCAATATCAATAAATTTTGGTCCGTGTTATTGCAAAAAAAATTAAAAATATAAGCATTGAAATTTAAACCTATATTCGTTGATGATTTGCCATTGTCATGAAAGTTTGTAGCATATGTAGCAATGTCGACCATTTTCTTGAACGATTTATTGGCTTAAATATTGTTAAATGTAAAATCTGCTTTATTCATAGATTTGACATCAAATCGACGGCTTGATTGTAGCCAATGAAGTGTAGATCTAATTGTAACGAAAACCGTGCAAACGGAACGGAAGCATGCTATTTTTTTTTCAATGTGCTGTCTATATCCGATTTCATTTTGTAACATTATTCGGGTCATAACTTTAATAGTTGCAGAGAGAGTTTCTCAGCGGTCTGTATTTTGTGATTAGACTATATAATACCTCCGCTTCACAATTACTAGCATTTCTTAACTGATTGCAATTATTACTTTGAATGTCATGTCATCTATGTAGTAGCTTCGCCATTTTATTCCAAGAAATATGTGCTTATAATATTTTGACACGCGTTAGTAGGGCTAGTAAATAAAATATAAATTACATTTAAGTGGAAATAGTGCCGGGAAATTTCGCATTTAATTATCTGATTATTTATTGTGAACTAATTTCCATGTTTATAGCCACGGTCAGGTAGTAGATAAATAAAAATATACCGCCATTTCTATTTACATCGGGAATTCCTATCTTTCTCTTAAGAACATATTTATTGTATACATATTTTTCGTAGAAATATATGACGTCTTCCTTTCACAATAAAAATTTCTATTTGATCATATTATCTTTGATCTTAAAAGAGGTAGGCGTCAGCTTTACACAAAGAACTAAAAACGTGGATTTCATAAAACATCTGGTGACATAAGAATTTAAATGTTATCTTTGATACAG